TAGGAGTTAAAGCCATGGTGGACGCTGTTAACCTAATTCTTCAAGGGCTTCTTTCACTGCCCCCCAAGGAGGAAATATTGGGAGGCCTCTTCCACTAGCATTCAATAAATAGTAGTCAATTATTGCATTTTTCCTTTATTCTCTTCTCTGGAGCCCCCTTTTCCTCTGTGCCCCGCCTTCGCATTTCTCCTTGTCCTACATTACCACCCGGACTCAAGCCAGCTTCGTCTCTCACCCCTCTTACCGCAAAGTCCCCAGCTGGGTGGAGAGAGTTACTGGGCAGCCACTGCGGTTTCTGCCTTTGCCTTGCTTTCTGAGAACTGAAGATGTGTATGCCTAACTTCTAGGTCTAGAGGCCACGTGAAGGACAGGGCAAGCGGTTTCCCTGAACGGCTCCCTCTGACCAGCACTGAGCAAGAGTCCCTGCTGCCTCTCTCCTGTGCTGGCACTCAGCTTGTGGGTTCAGTGGGTGCGTGCAGCGGAAACCCACTGCAGGTTCAGGTTTTGTTGCCCTGGTGATGAATGATGCCAAACACCTTGTGATGTGCTTCCAGGTCATTAGAATATCCTCTTTAGAAAAGTGTCTCTCTTCGGCCAGGTGTTGTGGCGCACGCTTGTAATTGAGATGCTTCAGGAGGCTGAGGTAGGAGGATTGCAAGATCTGGGTCAGCCTTAGCAACTTAGCGATACTCTGTCTCAAAATAGAAAATAAAAAGTGCTGGGGATGTGGCTCAGAGGTTAAGTGCCCTGGGTTCAATTCCCAGTACCAAAGGGGGAAAAAAAATGTCTCTTTAGTCTTGCCCAATATATTTTTATATGGGTTGCCATTTTATTATTATTGAGTTATAAGATTTCTTTATGTGTTCTGGGTAAGAAATAATTTTTTTCATATATATTTGTTGCACATACATTCCCTCAGGCTGTGGTTCTCTATTCATCTTCTAACAAAACCTTCTCACGAGCAATTTTAAAAGGTTTTATAAAATTTTATTTATTTATTTTTTAGTGCTGAGTGCTTCCTAAGACCTCTATGAACATAGCCACCTACTCCGATTTTACAAAAAAATTACCTCATCATCCTTTGTTCTAGAAAACGTGGTGTTAGCCAGGCCATGCGGCATACAGTTAGAATCCCAGCTACTCCGGAGACAGAGGTAGGAGAATTGCAAGTTCAAGGACAGAGTTGCCAGCCTGGGCAAACAGTGAGACCCTGTTTCAAAATATCATAAAAAATAATAAAATAAAATGGAAGGGCTGAGGATGTAACTCAGTGCCAAAGAGCTCTGTAGCCTAGAGGAGGCCCCAGTTCTGCAATAAAGAAAAGAATAAAATTAGTTTAACTTCCATGCGTAGATTTATGTCCCATTTAAGTTTAGTTTCTGGTACAGTATAAAAGAAGAGTTGAAACTCATTTTTGTCCCTTACTGGAGTCTGTCTTCCTCCCGTGAAGTTGCAGTGGGCCTGTGGTAAGGGTGTGGGTTGACCCTGGCCTTCCCTCCAGTCCTAGGAGGCGTCATCTGCTCTGTCAGCTACAACACATGCTGTCTTGGCAATGGTGGTCTCAGACCAGTCTATCTACTTTTTTTTTTTCTTCTCTATTTGACCTTATTGTAAGGGTGGGGGAATGTGAACAGGCTTATTAAATACAAATGGTGAGAGCAGACATTGCTTTGTGGCTGATCTTACAGGGCAAAGCTCAATATTTCATAATCAAGTGTGGAGCAGGCTGTAGAGAAATCTCAGGAGTCCTTCCTGAATTAAGGCAATCTGATTTGTGGACGTTTATATCATGAGGACTTGACTTTTTGGATCTTTTCCACATTCATGTAAACAATCCCCTGACTTCCCCACGGATACATTTACTGTGTGAGTTACATAACTAATTCCCTTGGGTCCCACCACCCTGCTATCCCCATCTGTGTTTGGTCAGGGTGCAGAGTTCCATGTATACTGTTGATTTGGTTAACTAATATTCTGTCCAGAAATTCTGTGCCAATGCTCTTGCAGATATTAGCCTGAAGTTTTCTTTTACTGTCTTGTTTGGGTTTGGTTACCACAGGGCTGTGATGATTTTATACTTGAAACACATATTTAAGCTTTGAATTCTTCATTTTATAAATGTTTTAGAGAATCAAGCAATAAAGTGATATGGATCTAGAGTGTTCTTTGCGGAAACGTGTTTTAATGAACAAATCAATTTCTTTAAAGGATATACATTTATTCTTATTTTCTATTTCTTATTCTGTTTTATAAGTTGTGGTTTTAAAAGGAATTTGGTTTTTTTATATGAGATGCCAAATTTATAGGTGTAAGGTTGTTTCTAATATTTTCTAATTCTCCTTTTACTTTCTGTATGATTTGTAGTGATGCTACTTTTTTAATTCCTGGAATTCTCTCTTTGTCCATTCTTCCTGGTGATTTTACAATGATATTAGTATTTTTAAAGAAACAATCATCCATTTTCTATTTCATTGGCTTTTCATCTATATCATTATTTTAATTATTCCCTTCATTTTAGGTTTAATTTTCTCTTTTTTTCTAGCATTTCAGAGTATATTTGGATACCAACTCTAACAATGTGAGACTTGATCGTGTTATGCAATTACTCTGTCTTGGTTTCCTTATTACTCAAAAAGGGATAATGCTATTATCTATTTCATTTAGTTTCTGTGAGAGCTAAATAAAATAGTACATGAAGAGTGTTTTTATACAAATCTGTTACATAGTAAGTGCTTAATACTTGTTAGCAGTTGCTAACCACTGATAATAACAGCAAGAGCATACATTTATTGACTGCTTTAAGGATTGGTTCTCAATGATCTCATGAGATGGGTACTATTAATTTCATCATCTGACATATGAAAGAACAGCAATTAAGAAAGATGTTTTGTCCAGAGAAACAGAGAAAATAAATGGAAGAACCAGCATTAAAACTTCTCTGATTCCAAAGTTTATGCCCTTCATTACCATGTATGTTGATCTTAAACAAAATAAGTAGCTGTCACTTATTGGACACTAGCCCTATACCAGTTTTGGTGCTAAAAATTCACCAGGGTTATTTCAGTTCCTCTTCACACATTGCTGTGACCTTGATGGTGCTGTTTTGAATATGTTCCCCAAAATTCATGTGGTGGAAACTTAATCCCCAAGTTCATATATTAATGGCATTTGAAGGTAGGGCCTTTGAGGGATGTCACAGGGCTCTGCCTTCTCGAGTGGACTAGTGCCATTACCATGGGAGTGCATTATTTATTGCAAGAGTGAACTTATGAAAGTGACCTCCTCTTGCTTTCATATCTTTTGCACGTGCTCCCAGCCCTTCCTTCCGCCTTCTACTGTGGATGGCATAGAAGAAAGCTCTCCCTGCATGACGCAGGTGCCCAGAGTCCAGAACCATGAGCCAACAGAGCATGTACTGTTTAAAGTCACCCCAGACTCAGGCATTGTGTTATATCAATACAAAAGCTTATGTGTAAGACAATGCAAGAAAGTTTAGAGGTGAAATGATTGGGATATGAGAGCCTTAGCCTAATCAGTGCCTTAATCCACTGATATGCATTAACTGGCGGTAACTATAGGCAGGTACAGTGTGGCTGGAGGAGGTGGGTCACTGGGGGCATGCTTTGGGGATTTATATTTTGTCCCTAGTCTGCAGAGCCATCTTTCTCCCTCCCTCTGTTTCCTGGTTGCCATGTCCTGAATTGTTTTCTTCCTCCACACCCTTCTGCCATGATGTTCTTCCTCCTCTTGGGCCAGAGCAGTGGATTTGGCCATCTATGGACTAAGACTGAAACTGTGAGTGCCAAATAAACTTTTCCTCCTCTGAAATTGTTCTTGTTAGATATTTTGGTCAAAGCCATGCAAAATCTGACTAAGACACCTGTGTTCTTCTGTTTACACATGTTCATTAAGTGAAAACCTCTTTATGGAGAACAGGCATTACTGTTCAATGCCCCCTTATAGATAGAAGGCAGTGATTTCTTGTTTCTGTGTTTTCCAGCGTGTTACCCCAGAGAGCCACAGAGTCTTCCTGAAGGGCAGGGCCTTGTGAGGCAGCTCTGCTCCAAGAAGTCCTCACAGATACAAGCTCCTCTCAACTCACCCCTGCACCAACCCTGCCATATAGATTTCAAGTTTTTATCTACTTTTGATACAGGAAGATGGAAGGAGGAAAAACAACAACAATAAAATAATAGCATATTCAGGTTTATGGTTCTGACTCATTTCCACTAGGGTCTAGTAACAAGTTCAGAAATCTTTGTCATCAAAAGAATTTTCTATTGCTTTATAGTGCCTGGTATTGCTCCAAAATTCTAGGCAGGCATTGCTAATTCTTCTAGTGCCGCGTGCAATAGGCTTCATATATTTTGTAACCTGCTATGGATCATATAGCACCATTGGGTTTGATGGTTCATAAGACACCTGCTTTAACTGCTATCCATCCTGGTTGGAAAATCTTTTCTGAGCCCTATTTATACCTGACAGCCTTAGAGTTACTTAGCAAAGGTCAGACCATCATTAGCATGATTGGTTTTAAAAGACCTATCTTTCTTTAACACATCTTGTGTACCAAGATATTTAAGATGCTTTTATTTTTAATTTCTATTTCATTAATTGACAAATAAAAATTGTATATATTTATGGTGTACAATGTGATGGTTTGATATGTTTATATATATCACAAAATGACTAAATCTAACTAGTAACATATCCATTACCTCATTTACTTACCATTTCTTTTTTGTGGTGAGACCACTTGAAATCTCTCTTAAATTTTTTCAAGTGTTCATTATTATTAACCATGGTCACCATATTGTAGATCTCCTGGACCTTTTGCTTTAGCTTCACTGAAGTTTTTCATCTTTTGGCCAACATCTCCCCAGTCCTCCTGAGCTCCTGGTAACCACCATTCTACTTTCTGATTCCATGTACAAGTAATCTCAGCACTGTGTGTGCCCTTCTCAGACACTTTCTACTTTCCAATTTCTATTTCCCATCAGAAAGATATCAAGTGTCTAAGCATCCCAGCAAGATGTTCTGTGGAACATCAACATTTCTGTGAAGAGAGAACGAGAGGTATCATGGCCTGGGATAGTTTGGGGTAAGTATACTGCTGTCCATTCAAAGCAAAAGTAGCATGTCATGGCTTATCTATTAGATAGAGCAAGGGTCAACAAATCTATTTTTGAAAATATAGATAGTAAATAGTTCAGGCTTTGTGAGTCAGACAGTTTCTGTTGCAACTATTCAACTCATCACGATAGCGTGAGGGTAGCCATAGACAGTATGTCAATTAAGGGGCATGGTTGTATTTCTATAAAACTATTTACAAAAACGGGAGGCCAGATTTTGTCTACTGATGGGATATGTGAACCCCTAAGACAGACATAAACAATTGTTTCTGTAATTATTGAACTATCCTGGGTTCCAGGCACTATGTTTATTTGACTCACCAGAATGACTTCATCTGGGACAACAATGACTGGAGTGCACTCTGTATGACATTATGACGTTTGTGACAGCCCATTGCCAGTGTCTTAAACATATCCTACTGCTATTAGACTCAGACAGGCCAAGGGCTGGACATGTGATTAGAGTCATCCCATCCTGCTTTGGTCAAGCAGTTGATGCTAATATGAAACTCTGTGCCTCCCTGGAGGGTTCCAATCACTCTGTTTCTATCAGTTCCTCCTCCTATCCAGAATAACCTTCACTTCATTGGTGAGAGCGTCAATGTAGGGAGTTTAAATAGTAGATATACATATATATTTTTTTCAAATTGATGGGACTATTATTGTACTGTGGTATGCCCTCCTTGAAAAGTTGGCCTGGCTGTGCTGGCTTCTACCTTGTTGATGAGTCTTTCTTCTTCCTCCTGCTGGTGGACAGTTCCTCGGGTGGTGTTTCCTCACTGCTCCAGTTGGCCTAACTGTGGTTCTCGGGGATTCTCTACACTTGTTTCTCCTACAAGGACAGGACTTGCTAGCTTTGCACACACATGTAGTTTGAAGACACGAGGTTGCTTGACTTGCGTGTGTGTTTGATATTTGCTTGGCAGCTGAGTGGCACGTGCTGCTGCTGGTGACTGTGTTGGATATCCCGCCCTCACGGGGGGCAGGCACTCTCTGTGCGTTTTCTATGTCAGTGGCTGCTTCAGCTGAAAAACCGCAGACGCCCTCATCTCTACCTAACATAAAAGGGGTCACCTAGCCCTTCCCTTCTCTTTGGGGGCTTTGCATAATTTCTTAGTTCTGCATTTGGTCTACCTACCAATCTAGGGCAAAGACAGTGGCCTTTCCCTCCTTGGGGGCTGAGTTCTTGAGATCAGATGAAAACACTCCAGCAGAGTGTCTCAGAGGCAGCACATAAATAGAGAACCGCATTTATTAGCTCTTTTGAGTCTCTCGGGCGCAGAAGTGACTCCAGCCAGAAGCCTGTCTGCTGTGCCCTTTCTAGCTGCCACTTTGTATGTTAATTGCACACCCTTAACATTTATTATCAAATCTGCTGGTCTAAATTCCTCAGATGAAGGGTGGAAGGCGGCCTTCACTCAGGGGACCCATCTTTCTCCATCATTTATGGAAATTAAACCTGGAGTTTGTTTACTGCTGTGTGTGAAGCCCCAGGTGGGGAAATGCTAATCATCCAGGATGGGAAGGAGGCTGAGGCTGGCTGCCATGTGTCCCATCCCATGGACGCACCATGTGCCTGGACTCTGACTCCTCTCTGCTAGCAGGAGCACAGTGTTAAGTGGCATCTTTTTGCCAGAGGTGCTTTCTATCATCCGAGATAGCACAGCTGGCAAAGAGGTTGTAAACACGTAGGAACACGGCAGCAGAAGTGTTTCTTTAGTCAACCTGAATTAGTCAAAGTGGAAATGGTGAACAGGAGCCCAAAGATACATCACAAAATGCACGACACACACTTTTTTTTTCTTTATTGATAGTGATAGATGAATGCTCCCAGGCCTCATTTGCAACCTATTTGCTCTTTCCTTAAGACAGTAATAACACACACAGTATTGGTTAAGGCAGATAGACTTGAGCAGCAACTGACAGTTGATATAATATTTAAGAATTTGGGTTATAAAAGAAAGTCACAAAAACTCACAATAAGCCAAGACTGTTTTGTTTAGGGACAGTTTTTCCATCTACATACTCTCTCTACAATAGCCAGAGTCACATGTGCACCTGCGTTCCATTCTGAACACATGGCTGGACTTTGCAACACCTGCTTTGCACTGATGAACAGACGTGGGTCCCCACAGCCACGTGGAAGGGAGAAGCGTGGCCAAGGTTGCTGCCGCAGTGCCGTCTCTCACTGTTTGCTCATGCTCTCTCTCTCCTGGGGGAATTAATTATGCAATTTGGTTCTACAAAATCTGGTACGTATTGAGGAGAGACTTTTCAAAAGAGTTTTGGGTTTATTTCTCACCTTACCAAATTTTACTGCATAATTGTCACAGATCTTATGCCAATTGTTTTTATTTTTATTTTTTATTTTTGTAAATCAGTGGGGTGTGACCATTACGTGAAGCTTTTTTTTTTTTAAATCATGATGGTATTACTTAAAAATCACTTATTACTAATCTATCTTTGGTGCAAGATTAGGATGCATGGAATACTTGGGAATATAGGTTAAAAGTGAATAATCCAAGTAGACACACATTGTTTCTTCATGACAGTTTAGTGAACATTTTGCCAATCTGGAAAAAAATAATTTAAGCTATTAGTTAATAATGTGTGCATCATAGTCAAAGTATTACACTTGGGGAAAATTACGATAGTATTGGGAAGAATGGACTTAACCAAATTTAATCTTTTGTGTCCAAAGATTCTGCACCTCTGTCATTGGTTTCCTTATCTGATGACCATCCTTGGCACCACACCTGTAAAGGGCTTTTCCCGTTAGTGCTGCAGTTTCCAGGCACACCACACATGCTCACAGAGAATGCCAGGCTGTGCTCCACCTGTTCGAGGAGACAAATGCACATCCAGATGTCATTATTGTAAGTGGCCTGTGGAACAGAGGTATGCCATGCAATGGTTATACAATGCATGACCATAAACTAATTTGGGGTATCAGAAAATAGGGTGAAACGATTATGATGTGAAGCATGGTACTTCCTGTTTTCTTGGAAAAAAATAAAAACAGGCTCCCATTCCAACTGTAATTATTTTAGAGTGACGTGTCATGGGCCCAGGGGTGCTGGCCAAGTCTCCTATCTGAAAGGAAGGGTGGGAAGTACTATATTAGGTAATTAAATTCAGAAGCACTGTATTAATAATGAAATTCAGAAGCACTATATTAATAGTGAAATTAAGAAGCATTTACTTGGTGCCAGGGATTTTTTTAATTATTATTTTTTAATATCTTTGTTTTATTTATTTATTTTTATGTGGTGCTGAGGATCACACCCAAGGCCTTGCATGCACTAGGCGAGTGCTCTACCGCTGAGCCACAACCCCAGCCCCCCCAGGGATTTTTATAATTACCTCATATTGCTTTTTATTTTTATTTTTTAAAGATCCTTCCTCCATTTGTAAATGGAAGATTCTGTAATAGACCATTTTATAATTAAGGAAAACCACCATACATTTCAACCTGGGACTGTGTTTCTTCCGGTACAGTCTACCTTATTGTATATTTTATAGGATCAGAAAGAGGAAGCAATTAATTCTGCCAGAGTTATTAGAAAAGGCTACGTAGATTAAATGACATTTAATCCAAGGCTTCAGAAATTATGCATAATTGTTATCATCTCATTTCTTCTCGTCAAACCTTGGATATGATGGGCTTAAAACTTCATCTGAATTTCATGTGATATGTGTACGATATTGGACTCAAGTACCACTGAAGAGAGATAATTCTTTCCATAATAATGTGGAAATAAGACCTCTTATCGCTCAATGTTAATGACATGCAAATTCATGCCAAGACAAGCGTCTGAAATGTCTTTTTTTTTATAATTATATCACTCAACTAGTTCTTGCTTCTTTTCTTCCTGTTACTGAGTTCCATAGCCTAAAACCCAAAATAGGTAAAGAAATCTGTCTATATTGTTAGACTCTCAAGGCATGGTTCTGATGCCCTGTTGGTCTCTAAAAACCCAGAGAAGAAGATGTCATTGTGTTATATCTTTTCAATCCTTAATCTGGTTTAGTTTATCTATGCATCATTTCTCTGGTTTGAAATCTTAACTATTTCTAACTATGTAAAGGAAAATAGATGATTGGTAAACAGGAGTTTAGCGTTTTCCCCATTGGGTGACATTGGGCGCTATTACAATAGGCTTTTAAGGACCTGGGGTTGACCCAGGAGGAGGAGGAAGACAGTTTGACAGCTCCGAAGGAAAGAAGATGAATACAAGAACCAAACCCTCTTGGGTGAGAGGAGAGGGGGCCCAGTGGAATGTGGGGAGATCAACTTTAAGAACAGGATCAGGTCACTCACCTTACACAAGAGAAGACCAAGATGGTGGGTAAACACACCTTTAGTTGGAAGCTGTGGCGCAGGAAAATGGTTTCTGTTTCTGCGTCTCATTGACAATCTCATGAGCCACTGAGACTATAGGAGGTGACGCATGAACATCCCCAGGATACGGTGAGAGTGGTGAACAGGTTGTGGACCTGAAGAGCCCCTTCCTGAGCCCTCTTGGGGAGGGCCCCACTTTGTGTGACAGTCTTCCTTCTGGAATGGGTCTCTGGGCAGCATGGAGTGGTGAGGCTGCTGGTCTCCAGCCTGAGAGGGTCTTCTGGCTTCTCTTCAAAGCCCGCCTGTTGCTGGCGGAGTGAGAGAGGCTGAATGATCAGGAGCACTGGGTCACTCCAGCTGCCCAGCCAGGAAAGACCACTGAGCCTGACAGCGGGCACCAGGGACTTCTCCCTCTCCTCATCATTCTCCTCTTTGCCTGTTGTGTTGAGTCTCTTAAACTTTTGATTTACTTTTTGCATGTGGCAGGCACAATCTATGGCAGGGGAATACACTTGCCTGCCTGGTGCCTGTTGGAGATCACTCTCAAAGAAGCCTCTACTGGCCTGCCTTGGGTTGTGTGCTCAGCCTTGGATCAACTGTGAAAGTTCTTTGACTGGTTTAGGGTCCACCCCTTGATCATTTGCTGAAGCTTGGGCCCATGCACAAATGATGCAGCTCCCTTTTGGGTCCTCTGGCAAGCAGAGGTAGAGGTAGCTCTTCTCCAAAGGAGTGGAGAAGTTACAGGCACAACTTCAGGGTACAATTCTGTTGATCTGCACAACTATCCCAAGCAATGAACTATGGTCACCTGTATGTCCCAGATAGATATCCTAATTTTCAGCCTGTCACCCCAGGATTTCACTCCAAGTTTCCTTTAGGACCTTGCCTGTCTGTTACTATTTTGTTCATACACCCTGAACTTCCGGCTCTATGTCTTTTGCTCCTAGAGCTCCACCCACTTGCAGTGCCCTTCATAGTCGCCCAGCCATGAGGCTCTGGTCAATACATGCTGATTGAGTTCCACCATGTGACAAGAGCTGTGCTGCCACAGAGTGAGTGAACTATCGTGTGTATTTTGAAAGATTGACAACAGGGTGGGCAAGACACACATGACAAGATGGTGTGAGAACGCACGGACATGCCGCCTGTGGCAGCCCTGGGTACCTGGCCACCCCGGGGTCACCCGGGGAGACTTCCTGCAGGGGCCGATGCCTCCCCTGACTCCTGAAGTGAAGCACATGGGAAACCAAAGGAGTGAGTCACACAGCAGGGGCAGGGTGGGCACAGGAGGAAGGGGAGGACCCTGGTTTCTGGAGGGAGAGGATAAGCATGGATCCCCTCGGGAGTACTCCTCCAGCTTAGAGAGTTAAAAGATGATTTGTTTTCATCTCTTACTTTCTCTGTACCTTATAAAGATGACCCTAGTGTGTATTGAATTGCTTACATCTGATTCTCCTCCCCTTTTTAATGTTTGAAGTCTTGTTTAAAAAAAGCACTATGCCGCCCATCACACCAACCAACAGGGTGACTCACACCTAGTAGGCAGTATAAACGTGGCTAATTGGACCCATGCAATAAGTTAGAAATGCTCCCATTTGGGATATGGACGCGTCCTTCCTAGATTTTAGATGCAGCTTGGTGAGGGATTCTCACAGGTCGGAATGCAGATGCAGAGATTTCCACTTAGGGGTCTCCTGATCTGATAAGGAAATGGCAGTGCATTTGGGGAGGGGCGGAAGCATTTTTCTGTGTGCTGTAGATCACTGTAATGGGGAGAGTGGTGTAAGCAATTTCACATGGGAACATTCTCTAACCGCCTCTAACTCTGGCTCGGCAAATGTCACCCCACAACCACTTACTACAGTATTTATTGCCCTGTCGTTAGTTTATAAATCACATCAGTCCAGAGACGGAGGGAGGGTGCCATGCAACAAAAACCATGATGAGATTTCAGAGAGGCGAAGGAGCCCCCGCTTCCATCTACCAAGGAGGCGTCTGAAGTAAACTCTGGCAATTACCAAGAATCATAACTTTCCCCGTAAAAACAATCTGAGCACAGCGTAAGCCGTGCTTAAAATAGCATTTCTTGCCCAAACTCCCTCATAAAGTCCCAGGGCCCAGTTGAGACAGCTATATCTGTCACAGGCCTGCAGGCAAATAAACCTTGGATTGATGGGGATGATGTCAAATGGTATTCCTTTGGGTCTCCATGTTCACATTGAAATTCTGATTCCGAGCACTGAATGAGAGCTGAGAGCCAACTTGTTTATTGGTTGTGTTTTGTAGGCGAGGGCTAAGGGATATAAGAGAATTTAGGAGAAAAAGCCCTAATCCTGGTCTTGTGTAATATCTCTTAATAACTTGGAATGCTTTATTGTGGTCTCTTGACTTCAGAAGCTAGACTTACATTTTCCCGACATCTCTTTGCTTCTCAATGTGCCCTTTAGGAAAATAATTTCCAGAATGAGCCGTGGCCATGACCCTAGAAAGCCTCCACCACTCTTTTACAGTCCTCTTAGTCCTCTTTGGTGTCCACTCTCTGAACATCAGTATGCCCCAGGCCGTGGGGTCACTCATGAGAGAAACTGTATCTTTTTCTTTCATTGAATGTCCAGTGTCCAGCACAGATGCTGCCCAGAAAATACGGCATCAATGTGAACAGAGGGATGGAGGATGCATTTCTGAGTGCTGGTGTGCAGGGCACCAGTGGCTGCTGGGGGAGCTTAGGGGGTCTTAGGTCTGCCCTTTGGGCTCTAGTGGCCAGCCAACCAGCATTTCTCTGGCTCTTCAAGCTGGTGACCACTGGAGGGCTACTTAGCTTCTTTGCATCTCAGTTACCTCATGGGCAACCCAGAAATTGCACTCCTTCCCTTGTAGTTTTGCCATAAGTTTAAGAAACAAGATGGGGAAAGTGCGCTCTCGGTGCCTGGTACCCACAAAGCCCACAGCGGATGATTGCTCTCATGGGCAGGCATAGACATCCCTCCCACTTAACTCATGCTCAGGCGAGAATCTTCAGGCATCCTGAAATGCTGTCTCACTTCAGAGGCGTGTGGGTGGGGGAAGGCCATGTGGTTGGATTGTGGACTAGCAGCACCATGACAGCTGGGCCCCATGCACCACAGGAAAGGAGGAGGCAGTGCCAGAGCCATGGGATCCCCTCTTCCCGCCCTCTCTCCACAGCTCTGCCACTGAGTGGGCTCAGCCTTCCTCCCCCTACGCTGAGCGCCGAGTGGCCCTCTCACCTGTCCATCGTCCTCCCTGCTCCTGCCTTCTCTTCTCTTCTTGGCATAAGCCCATCCACTCCAGGTTCTGGCTCCCTTTCTGGTGTGCCCACATCACAACTCGTCACATCGGCCTCCTGTTTCATCTGTCCCTTGCTATGGCCCTTGTAGAGGGACGCCTGGTTCAATTGCTAGGCTTCCCTCTTTGTTTCCTCCCCTCATGGGGTGATTTTGGGAAAGACTTCAACTGAAAATCCATCTTTCCCATCCGTAAAGCAGGAATTATAACAGAGCATGAAGCATGGCATCGTAAGCACCACATCTATCAACGCAGACGAAGCCTTGAGAGTGGCCCCCGTTCACAGACAGTGTTCAGTAAGAGGTGGGAACCAGCCCGATGCTGGAAAATATGCAGAAACAATGATCCAAGGATTCAGAGGCTGTGGCCACCATCTTCTCTACCGTCCCAGGGGTGCTGTCCCCAGCCCTGTTCTCAACTTCCCATCTTCGGGATGCACAGCTTTTTCAGAGAACTCTAACTCTGACATCCTTACCAAGTTCACTGCGCCCAGGATGAACCTGTACCTCTCCGCATCCTCTGACCTCCCCGTGATCTGCTGAAGACAGCTCAAATCTTGGTGCCCACCGATGGCTCCAGGGCTTTGATGTTCTCCATCAGCCTCCCTCCAGGAAACCCCTGCACTTATCCTACCCCGTCGTGTTCACACAGCTGCTCCAGGACAGGTTCTCCACTCCCAGTTTAGCGATCTTGTCACCACGGTGATTGTCCCTCATGAATACTTCTTTTCTGAGGCTCTTGGCTCATCGCTGCTTATAAATATTGCTAAAGAGACCTCTGTGACATTGAGGCCTGGCATTGCTGCTGTGATCTGTCCTGCCTGTCAGCGGGTGGGAGTCTCACGTCCGTTGGGTTGCAGAGCAGGGAAAAAGTACAAAGGCCCTTGACCCTACTTTGGTAGATTTCAGTGAAAAGCTAAGAAGTACTTGAAAACCATTCCCTGAGGGGGCAGAGGTGGGAAGGGACAAGACTCACCTGAACCTTTACAAGAAGAGCTCCAATTTTCTGACCACGTGAGCCCCTGGCCTTGACCCTACCTCTGGCAAAATGCTTTTTTCTATAGGTACAAGGAAGAAAAAAATATAATAGATGGCAACAGAAAGAGTGTAAATCAGAGAGAGGCTTCGGAGAGGCCCGCTCTTCCTCAGGACATGCTGAGCAAAGCTGTAGCAAATGAAATGGAAGTAATGTGACAAGAGCATCCATGTGTCACACAGCTGCTGGTTGGCCCTGGCACCCTGTTCTTGAATGCCCTGTGGGAACTGGCAGTGAAGGGCACATGAGTTCCCAAGAAGGGGGGCCCAGGAACATTCTGTGCCTCGTAGCAGAATGTTCTTCCCTGTCAATTTTAATTTTAAATTGACACGTTAAAAATCACATACATTTATGGAGTATATGGCATTTGAGACATGTATACAATGTGTGATGTTTATATCAGGTTAAGTGTGTCTATTTCCCCAAACATTTATTATGTCCCTATGCTGACAACATCTGTTTTGGTCAGCTTTTTCACTGCTGTGACTAAAAGATCACCTTGGGGGAGAAAAAGTTTATTCGAGAGCTCATGGTTTTGGAGGTCTCAGTCCCTAGACAGCAGGCTCCATTCCTCTGGGCTTGAGGAAAGGCCAAACATTGTGGTGGCAAAAAGTGGCAGAGGGAAGCAGCTCACAGGATGATCAGGGAGCAGAGAAAGAGGCTCCACTCACCCATACAATGTCTATCCCAAAGGCACGCCCCTGACGCCCACCTCCTCCAGCCACACCCTACACACCTTCAGTCCCCACCCAGTTCATCCCATCAGGGGAGAAATTCACTGCTTGGTTAAGGTTTTCACAAACTAACCTCTTCTTCTCTGAACCTTCTTGCATTGTCTCACACATGAGCTTTTGGGGGCCACCTCATTTCCAAACCAAAACAACATCCAAGATCTTTTCTTCTAGCTTTTTATTTTTGTACTATATACTATTTTTTTTTGTACTTTGTACTATGTACTTTCGTGTACAATGTAGAACAATATCACTGACTAAAGTCATCCTACCCTGCAGGAGAATACCACAACTGATTTCTCCTCTCTGTCGGTGAACTACGTGGACCTGAAAGCATCTTCATCACCTCACTAGTCAGCTAGTCATTGCATCTCCTTCTCTTTGGCTGATCTCCATTTATCCCTCTTATAAAGACCCCTGGGGTGACATTGACACCCCTTGGACAATCTGCTCACCTCAAGATCTTTACATTAATGACATGTTCAAAGCCCTTTTGCCACACAAGGTATGATGCATGGGTTCCAGGGATTAAGTATTGGACATCCTTTTCCAGGGTATGGGCATTTCCAGCCTTCTGATCTCAGGGTCCTATCACCTCGTATTCCTTCGCCATAGGAGCTTGTTTTGCAAAATCTGTTGGAAACCCACTGCTCAAGTAGGGTTGAGAGTTTTGGAGGAACAGACATTGAGAATAGAGACAAGAAGTCAGGATGCTACCCCAGACCCTTCTTAATGATGATGGGATGTTCAATGATGGAAAGAGCATTCAAAAACCACGTAGAGGAGTTTCCCCTATACCCTGTGTTAAATGCTACTGTGAAAAATCCAGCCATCCAGGGTCGGCAGGGAGTGAAGAGTACTGGAGAATGGGAAGATGTTCCTCTTCCAACAAGGACACGTGGGGCTGTGGCCTCAGGGGAGGCTCTCAACGTTCCAAGACTAAACGGAAGATACTGCAAATAAGGACACATCTTTATTAAACTAATCGGATGAATTTTACAAAACTGTCTGCAAAATAATCATCTCTCTTGTGGCATATTACCAACGAGGAAACTTCAGACTGTTAGGAGAGGTGAGGAAGGTGCATATTGCTTTTCCATCAGAGAAAATAAACTCATACCTTGGGTCAGTTAAGTCAACTTTTATTATGTATTCTGCTTAGGTAAGGCTTGTCAAAGAGAACCAAAACCTATTTCTATATTTTGGCTCTTACATGCATAGAAAAATCAATGAAAAACACAGAAAAGGAAGAGGGAGTTTATGAATATTTAACTTTTTTCTTCAAATTTTGTGTTTTGAAAATTTTTACTTGACAATTACATCTATTGATGGAATACAATGTAATGTTTTGATACATGTGCTCATCATTGTAGAACAATTTGATGAGGCTAATTAATAGATCTATCAACTCATCGTGTTGTCATTTTGAGTTGAGACATTTAAAATCTACTCTTTAGCAACTTTGAAGTACAGATTGTTATTAGCTTTGGCAATCATGCTGTGCAACAAATCACTAACCCTAATTTTTCCTGTCTAAATTCTGCGCCCAGCATCTTCCAACCCCTTGACCTCTGGCCAACTCTATTCTGCTCTCTGCTTTTATGAAATCAACATTTTAGGTTGCAGGTATTTCTACTTCAAAGGCAGTGGCAATGGTAAATATCTATGCCAAACGCATCAGGATTATAAGGTGAGTGAAAGCAGAAGCTCTTTCCATGCTGTGGGATCCACTGCCCCAGGGAAGCAAAAGCTCTGGGTCCCTACATGAAATCAAAACTGCCTAAGGTCCAGGCAGTGGACCGAGACCCACCTGGAGCCCCTTGCTGGCGGATCAGAAGTCCGTGCCTCGACTAGATACTTCTAACCTGTGGAGGAGGAAAGTGTTTTTTAGAAGGTGGGGTCCAACCATCATTCCTGGGATTTAAGAAAGTTTTCAAGGAAAACAGGTTACTCTGGGAGGTTCTGAAGAGATTGATACTACATTGTTATAACTTTGATGTTTAAGAGATTAATAATCCAATTTTAAATATAAATTTTTTTTGTATAACCAATAATTTGCAGATTTAATTTAATTCCAGAATTAAAATGGCCACTGCTAGATGTTGATAAGCCATTTTGAATTTTTTTTTACATGATATGAGTTAAGAGACATTTTTTCTGGGTTGGGGTCGTAGCTCAGTGGTAGAGTGCTCACTTTGCATGTGGAAGGCACTGGGTTTAAAAATTTTTAAAAAAGGTATTGTGTTCATCTACAACTAAGAAAGAGAGAGAGACATTTTTTTTTCTATTTGGATATCCAATTATTGTTTTTCATATTCAATCACTTTAGCTTCCATGTCAAAATATTTCAATTATTATCTTCCACTCAGCTATTTGACCATCCTTACACCTGATGATTATAACCTTAGAGTAAGTTTTGAACTAAGTATCATAAGTCTAAAATTTTTCTTCTTTTCGAAATGTTTTGGATATTATAGGATTTTTTTACTAATAAAATTAAAAATTCAAGGCTTTTGGTTGGGATAATTTTAAGTCTATATTTAAATTTGGGCAAAATTGACATCTTAATAATACTCAGTCTCCTGATCCATGAACATGATAGATCTTTTTTTTTTAATATTTATTTTTTAGTTTTCGGTGGACACAACATCCGTATTTTATTTTTATGTGGTGCTAAGGATTGAACCCAGTACCCCGCACATGCCAGGCAAGCATGTTACTGCTTGAGCTACATCCCCAGCCCCATGATAGATCTTATTTTAATTATTCTCTTAACTTCTCTGAGCAATATGTCCTTAGTGTCAATATAAATTCAGAACATACCTCATGTTAAATTTTCTGTATTTAATATTTTGTTATTTTTTTCTTATTTTGCTATAGATTTTGGTTCAGAGAGATAATTTATTTATTTTTGTGTTAAATAAATAAACTTCTTTCCTAAATTATTAGACATCATCACAGAAACTGCCCGGGCTTATAGTTTTCTTCCTGGGAAAGTATTTAATTTCCAATGCATTTTCTTTTATTTTCCAGTATTTTTAATTGGAGCACTCTAGTTATACGTATTAGTTGGGTTCACTGTGACAAAATTAGACATGGACTTTAACAGACTTTAGCAGACTCCATTTCAGTCCCCACTCCCCACCACCATCCCCTGCTCCCTGCTTTTCTTCTCCTAACTCTCCTTCCTCTACTCTACAAATTCCCTTTTGCTCATTTATTTATTTATTCTTGATGAGTGCGTTCTCTATATACATAAAGGTGGAATTCACTGTGGAGTATATATAAAGGCACATAAATCGACTTTGTTAAATTCATTGTGCCTTTCCTCCCCTTTCCTGTCCTTTCTCCTCCCTCTAGATCTCCTTTTCTACTCCAGTGATCTTTATCTCTATGATATCTCATGCCCTCCAAAGAAGGGGGCTTCTTTCCCTTATTTTGCTCCAGCTTCCTCTTACGAGAGAAAACATTTGACTCTAGATTTTCTGTGTCTGTCTTATTTCACTTAGCATGTGTGTGTATACACACACACACACACACACTCACACACACTCACACTCACACACACACATGCACACACACACACACACACACTCACACTCACACACACACGCACACACACACACACATACCACATTTTCTTTTGATGGGCATCTGGGCTTGTTTCATAATTCATATTTGGCTAATGTGAATGGTGCTGCTATAAATACTGATGCGGCTACATTGCTCTAGTATACGGATTTTGGTTATTTTGGTTAAATACTGAGGAGTGAGATAGCTGGCACATATGGTGGTTTTATTGTTAGTTTTTTGAGGAATTTCCATACTGCTTTCTAGAGTGATTGCACTAATTTGAAGTCCCACAAACAGTGTATAAGTGTTCCTCTTCCCTCGCCTCCTTGTCAGCATTTATGATTTGTATTCTTGGTGATCGCCATTCTGACAGGATTGAGGCGGAATTTAGTGTAGTTTCGATTTGTCAAATGTATTTCTTTACTAGATTGAGGCTATCTGGCTTTTATATTTCTTTTGTTCTTTAGAATTCTTATTTTTATTTAATTTTTTTTCTTTATCGTATAGCAAACAATTTATTCTAAGTAAAATTCACCTTTTTTTAGTGTATGGTTCTGTGGTTCAATCATGCAGTCATGTAACATGCATCACAACTGAGATATGGAACAGTTTCATCATTCCACAATTCCACTATACTACTGGTTGTCGACCTTGCCCCCAACCCTGGCCTCGGCTGCTCTGTTCTTTAATCTGGTAATTGTACCTTCTCCAGAAGCCATAGGAATGGAATCACGTAGTAAACAAACTTTTGAATGCAGCTTTCTTCTCTTAGCAGGATGCCCTTGAGACCCACCCACGCTAGTGCATGGACAGCTGAGATGCTTATTTTAGCTGTGTAGTCATATTTCACTGTATGGATGTCCTGCACTTGAGTTGTTTCCAGTTTGAGGCAATCACAAAACTCCATTTCTATATAGTTTTTGTGAGAATATAGGCTTTCATTTCACTTGGGTAAAAATCCATGATTGAGATTGCTGAGTCACTTACATTTGACTATTTAAAAAAAAAAAAGTTTATGTAAGTGGCTGTAGGATTTTGCCCGTGCTCCAGCTGCATATGAGAAGCCCACCATCTCTACATGTCCAACCACACTTGACATTGCCAGGTTTATTTATTTTAGTCACTTTAATAGATTTTTTTATGGATTTTATTTACATTTTAATATTGACCAGTGATGTTGAGGATCATTTATTTAAGTGAATGTATTTTCTTGTGGTAAAGTTTGTATTCCAACTTTTTACCCATTTAAAAATTGATTTTGTTATTTCTTCTTGAGTCTTTAGAGTCCTTTGTGTCTTTTGGACAAGTCTTTTCTCAGATAATTAATTTGTAAATATTTTCTGTCTGTAGGTTATCTTTTTATTTTCTTAGTAATGTAAATTAAAAATAGATGTGTTATTATTTGCTGAAACCCAACGTTATTTTTGTCAATGGCTCATTCTATTTGTGTGGTTTCTGAGAAATCTTTGTGCAATCCAATGTGTCACAGGTTTTCTCCCTGGTTTTATTTTGGAGTTCTTATTGTTTTAGGTTTTACATTTACATCGGTTATGATTTTGACTTACTTTTTCCCATGGACTCAAGGCTTACATTATGAAGCATCATGTTGTGTATGAACATCCAGTTATTCCAACAGCATTTGTCAAGAAGGCTATTCTTCTTCATTGAATTGCTTTTGCATCTTTATTGAAAATTGATTGTCTCTGTACTTGTGAATCTCTTTATGCACATTTTATTCTTTTTCTTTGATTTACATGTTTATCTCTTCTCTTTTCTCTCATACTGCACTGATTTGACTACTCTTCCCTCACAGTAAATTGGAAAAAATTTACTGTGTGTTAGCATTGTGCTTTCAAAATTGTTTTGTCTATTTTGTCTTCTTTTCCTTTGCATATTAACTTTACAACCAGCTTGTTGGTTTCTATAAAAAATCCTTCTGGAATTCAATTTAAAATTGCATTGAATGTGCAAAGAGCATTCACATCTTAAAATTGATATCCACAATTCATGAACATAGCAAATCTGTCCACTTATTAATAAGGTCTTCTTTGATTTCTTTAACCAAGGTTTTATAACTTTTAGCACACATGTTTTACAGATATTTTGTAAGAACTATATGTAAGTATTTTGGTTCTTTGGTTCTATTATAATGGTGATGCTTTATTTCAATTTTCAGTTGTTTATTGTTATTATATAAAAATGATCTGGAATTTTAAAATCTTGCAAAATTCATTTATTATTTCACAGATTCTTTGGGATTTTGTACATGGGCTATCCTATTATATGCAAAAAGATACAGGTTTATCTCTTTCTTTTTAATATATATATCTCTTCTTCTTTTCTTTTTTTATCTCATTGCACTGACTAAAATCTCTAATATAACTTTGAATAAGAATTATGAGTTACATTGTTTCAGATTGAAGGGATTCAGTTTTTCACCTTTGAGTATTATGTTAGTTCCAGTTTTTATGTGTCCTTTATCCATTTAAAAGAAATCCACCTGTAGTTTTAATTTGTTGAGAGATACTAAAAAAAAAAACAGGAATAATATTGAAT